TCGGCATTCAGCAATGAGGCTTTATGTTGTTTATAGAAAATGGTTCTTGCATATTCGTAGAGCTGTAAGTCAAGGTCATTAAGAGACCGTATCTCATCGAGAACCTTTTCAGGAACCTGAAGACGTGCCTGTAAAATCACAAAAATCACTAAAAAGGGATAATGCAATAGTAAAAGATAACAACAGGCTGTAGAACACTCCAATCCAACACCTAAAGTCAGATGTCAACATTAATCAGACACTACAGACTCGGTCATTGGTAACTAAAAATTTGTAAAAAAATGTAAAAGATGTTGAAACAATTTATCAATGTTTAACAAGTTCCATATTCATGTTATATATTCTAAATTTCTAATATATATAGAATAACCCTTTCAAGAAACTCTGGCCACATAATCATGAGATTTCCAGCTATAATGCATAAATGTCAATGCTAGAGCATCCTTGCTGATTTGAAAGCCTGTAAAATGATTTTGGAGATAGACAAGTTTGCTTAAAAGAGTGCGCAAACTAGTATCCCAGACTGTACACCACAAATTTGAAACCAAAGCCTAAATAGCTTGAAATACAGGCACCGCCTACCCATACAAGAAATACAAATGCTGGACAGTGGTAAATATCTACACCTGAAGAGGAATATTTTCCGAGCATGAGAACTGCTAAGCTTACCTCCTTTGTAAAGTTCACAGGAGAAATCTTCTTCAAAGAAGAGACACGTCGACGTGACTGGGCCTTCCGTAAATTGGAAATACAGACTTCATAAGCATCCATTAGTTCTCCAGCCGTCATCTAAAATCAATAACAGATCAGCATCCTTTTAAATATGAGAAACACATTATATCTAATAAGCCCATGAAAATCACCACACTTGCTAAGAAAACTAAGCTTACATTAGATTCTGTTGCTTCTCCACCTTCACTTGAAGTAACCTCACTTACTCCCCCGTCTGAGGTGCTATTCTGTTTTGCAGTGAGAAATGTTGTAAGAATGCTTTCTTTATTCAACTTCATTAAAAAGGTTCCTCCATCAGAGATATGCTTGTTAGGTCTTACCTTATGTTGACTGATATCAGGATCAGAATCCGAAAATGATCTCTTTTCTGCAGTACAAGTATATGATCAATGTCATGTGTAAATGAAAACACACCAAAATCTGTCCAAGAATATAAATGTCACCACCAAAATACCAACTAAAGGTCATTTCAAAAAATGATATTTACACACACACAACACACACGACAGAGTCCTGTGTCATTCTTCAAATGCTGCACCATTTTAGACGCCTTATTTGCTTTTGTAACTTGAGAAAAAGTTCAATGGAAACATAAAAGTGTTTAACCACACCAACCTGTATTATCAGTAGTTTCCAAGCTAGTGTTTGGTGCATTAAGCTGTGATATCACTTGAGTACCAACCACATTTGCAAACCTCGTTGCAGATTCTCTGTGCTCCTCAGTAAGACCAACGTATAACATATCATCCAGTCTCTTCTGCAAGATGTACAAGCACATACCATAACAGTTTTGAGGAGAGAAACAGTATGGGAAGCCAACAACTATCACAAGTTTAAAAGCTTATTTAATACCTTCGCAACATCTAGCACATATTTACCGAGAGTCTTGTATTTCTGTATACAATGGCGCACTTCATGTGCTTCTGCTATATAAGAATTGTTTGTCAAACCTGCAACCTGATAATTGAGCAGTACATCAAACTTCATTACATATATTACAGAAATCATTATCAGGCAACTCCATGCGTACATGATTTGAGGTTTTCAATTGCATTTGGGGATTTAAATTAGCAGGATATACAACTAAAAAGCACTGCACATCCCATATTGTTAACCAAGTACTATTTAAACGAAGGCTATGGTATTTGGTGTTAAGGTATAAGGTGAGAGTGGGTCATACAACAATAAAATGGGTAAGCAGTCACATGGCTTTAAAAATATATGCATCCATGATTAGCGGCATCAGAACAGAAACGTAAATTCTGGGAAACATACTACAGTTGAATCATGATTTCAGAAAACAGTAAGCTATTCATAGTACTTCCAGAAAAATGAAGCATAAGAATCTCAACACTGCTAACAGTTGCTGAAGTACCTGGAATGTGGCTCCATTATGTACAACATCCAAAGCCACAGGATGATTGATGTATTCTTGTAATGGCATTGCAAAATCTTCCATGTCATAAGAATCACTGCTCTCAATGATATTCTGACCCCTACTATACCTAGTATCTCTCTGTCAATTAAGGTCTACATCAATCATATATACATCACATGGACGTACAGAAGAACATGTAAAAGTAATGGACAACTAGTATAACCCAGTACATGAAAACATACATTAGCCAACAGAAGGACATCATGAAGCAAAGACTTCATTTTCTTTTTCGGCAACTTCAATGACAATTATTTCCATCTTCAACAATAAATGAATGGCTACAGTTGCATATTTAAACACATTTACATCCATAACCATACCATAGGAAACAAAGTCATGTTCAAGATTGCTTTAAAAACAAAAATCAGGCTCCATGCTTTTTAATACAAGTAATAGTGTATCAGCAAATAGACTCTGACAACCTTGCATAAATTTAGAAGCATGGAAATAAAATTCACAAATATGCCAATACCAAACAATAGTGAAATAAAATATACCCTAGTAAATAGGTCTTCTCTCATCCATGGAACCAGGTACTTCCATGGCCAGATATCCAGTGTGCTTACTCCTTTAGTCTTAGAGCTTAGACGTAAAGCCATCTTTGTTGCGGATGTCAAGTTTGGATGCACCAAAAATCTAGCTGCAACCTCTATTGAAAATTCATAAGTACTAAAGACACGGTCAACTGGATTCCTAAGTATGGTCACCACAGAAGTTCTCTCTCTTGGAAGTTTGGATGTCATGCTATAGTCATCATGTGTAACTAACAGCCTGCATTTTGGTTTCCTGCAAATTCACGGAAACAATAGAATGCACAAATAAAAAATGAATGTTGAAATTCAGAGTGTACTTTTTTCATCTAAAATAAAATGTGGGTTTTCGACAATGGACTAAGACTATTGGTGAGAATGTGGTGACCTTACAGAAGCTGCTATGCTTTAGATGCGAAGTAAAAACAGCTGTGAAGATCTGTCATAATTTTGTTGAATGAAAATATCATAAAAACTGCTGTGCATTGTACACAAATTACTGTGTAAAAAAAAAAAAAAAAACCAGAAAAAGCAGCTGAAAACTACTAGATTTACGGAGATGTGGGTTATAATGATAAGCAACAACAACAAGGTCCAAAACTCGGCAAGAGAAAATGTCAAATAGCTTAATAAACTTCTCAAGAGCCACAGCAGCTTAAAAAAATGTTATCAAAGGCACTCCTAAAAGCTTTAGTGACCTTTGTTGTCAAAAGGCACCCAGTCCACACCTGTGCCAGATGGGGCTACTACCCTCACTAGAAGTGCCACCCACTTTACTCCACCAAAACCCAAAACACTCATTTTAGCATTTTAAAAAACGTAGCAACAAAATCCACATGCCACAGCCACATGCAGGCATAATAATTGAAGAAGAACAAAAATTACTAAAACAATGAATTAAAGCAGCACCTTGGATCAAAGCGCAACTTATCATAAGAGCGAGGGCATTCCAGATTGTTGGGATACAACTTCTTCAAAAAACTGCAGAAACAACAACAGGTCAACGAATTCAATTCAATTAAATTAAAGAGGTCAAAGTTACAGTCATAATAGAAATTAAATTACCAGTGAAAATAGGTTCTCCCTCCCGTCCTGGGAACATGCAGAAAATAGAGCAAATCCCTTAGCGTGTGCTTATCTTCTGTTCTCATCTCTTCATCGAGCGAAGACCGCGCCCAACTCCTGACAACGCTGTGGCATTGTCCAAAATCACTTTCCGCAAAAGAGCCATTCACTAATAAATCAAAACCAAACACGAGTTAATCCACAAACAGAGAAACGGAGAATAAATAAATAATAATCGACGACGAATGATTGTTACCTAATCCGAGGAGAATGAGCAAGAAGGCGCAGAGCTTGAGAGTAGGATCCATGCACGAAACCCCTCCTCCTGCGAGAAAGAAGAATGAAAACCCTAACGAAGAGAGAGAGAGAGAGAGGGAACAACGGTAGGCAATGGACCTACCTGTATCGAATTACGGGATCTCGTGCTCGTAAATTGGCAGAAGTGCGTTTGGACTCCGATGCGGACCCACTTTGGGGGCGAAACGGCTTTTTTGCGTTTGTGTGTGGAGATGAGATTCTGTTTTGTGGCCAGCCAAACAGAAACTTTCCCGGGAAAATGGATGGGAAAGAACCTGAAGGCTAGCAGCGTTTGAATTAAACGCAAGACACTGCTCTAATTAATTGTTGTTACTTGGAAAGTTGAAACAAAAGAATGTTGAAACGAGAGGAACCTTTTTTTTTTCTTTTTCTTTTTCTTTTTTTTCTCGCCCTTTCAATTCCACTATTTTACTGCATAAGGAAAGGGTGGGGACAAAATGGTCAAAACGCCCTACAACAATGCCAGCGACCACCACTTTTCTAGTTTTATGTTTTTTTTTTGCTTTTTTACAAAAATGGAAAAAACTGGAACGGATATTTTTCATAATCACTTTTTTTATATTTTAAAACTTACATGAATTACTTATCGGTTTGAATACCAGTCAACCCCATCATAAATTTGCAAGGAAACAATTACTTTTTAAATATTTTTAATTACAATCAACACACTTTTAATTTGTCATTAATTAGAACAATATATTCGTACATTTACACGGGATATTATAATTTTTACATACTAAATTTGTTGACCGTACCATGTTTGATTATTCTAAAATTTCTCACAATCACATCACTTGTCATGTAGTTTAACTGTGAAATTTTTGGTTGATGGTATTTTTCTTGAGTTAATAATTTCTTGCACCAGAAAACGTGTACTATGACGATTAAATTCGAGGATATGACGACTATTAGTCTTCAATTCTTCATCTCTCATTGCCCTATTAATTATTTCAGTATAAACATGGTTAACCCAAAGTTTAGCATCGACTTCCTTCCCTCTTTGGATGAATAAGACATTACATCTCTCACAAGTCGACATGATAATTGCAAAAATTGGTAATTTTCTTGTTTTTCTAAGAATGAAATTTATTGTCTTTGCCAAGTTGGTAATCATGTGTCCATATTATCGGCCACCGTCTCATGCAAGAGTCTATTGTTCTATTGGTATAGTGTTGAGCCATTCAATTACACCTTCAGTTTCTAGTTCGCTCTTAAGTGTGTTGTAGTAGTAATTGAATTTTGGTTTAGTCATCCCATAAGCTGTGAAATTAGATGAGTAAAAAATAAACAATTTAGCATTGTTGAAATATGGTCAAACAAATAAAAATAATTAATGATAAGAACTACATACCCATGTTGAAAATAAAAATACTTGGCTCAATTGCACTTTGCATTTGAACCCAAGAATGGTCTCATTTAAATAGAAGGTGGAGATAGGGTTTAATCAATTATACTTATGACTAAAGTATTAGATTCTTAACGTGCGTAAATCAATGACATTCTACATCAATAACACTCATGACTAAAATATTAGATTCCTGGCGTGCGTAAATCAATGACAATCTGCATTAATGACATTCATGACTAAAGCATTAGATTTCTAACGCACGTAATTCAATGACACTTTGCATCAATGACACGTTGCATCAATGACATTTTGCATCAATGACACTCATGACTAAAACATTAAATTCTTGACACGTGTAATTCAATGACACTATGTATCAATGACACTATGCATCCTCTTTCCTGACGCATATAAATCAATGGTATTCTTAATTAATAGCATTGTATATTAAGTACAATAATTATAACAGTTATATCATTAAAATGAAAATAACTTAAAAAAAAACAACTTAAACAATATTTTACATATTTATAATTTTAACGAATAATTTACGAAATTATAATATTAAATTTTGTATATTTAAAAAATATAATTTCATTATTAAAATATATTATTCTTTTGTATTTTATTTGTGAATTTTAAATTAAATTATCTATATTTTTTAAATAAATTTCTTTTTTAATAAAATAAATAAGTTTTAACATTATCTTTATTTTTAACATAAATTTAAAATATTATACATAATGTATAATATTTTAAATTTAAGATATAATTATAATACTAATTATTTCAAATATATATATATATATAATTTAATTATAATAAATCATTTCCAAATTCTAAAAATTAAAATTAATTATATATTTTTTAAAAAATTAAAATCAGAAAAAAAAAATGAAAAAAAAAAAGAAGAGAAAAAAGGCCCATTAAAAAACCGGTTACTGGGTAATCGTTTTCTTAATGAAATTTTAAAAAAAAAAAAAATTCAAATCCTATTGAGAAATCGGTTACTCTGGACCTAAAAACAGGTCATTTAGGTAAATAAAAATTGGCACAAGTTATTAAAACAAATATAAAAAAAATTAAAAAAAGTCTCAATGTTTAGTTATTTAGGAAATCTAAAACAACAAATAACCTCACTCATGATTGTATAAATAAGATGATTTAAATCATCATTTATATAATAAAAAATAATACACAAAAGACGATCTAAATAATATTGATAGTTATATATATTAATGTACATTTATTTAATTTAACAGAAAATTAAAAAATCAAGTAACAAATGAGTTACAAAAATTAAAATCACTTTGTATTTAATATAAACTAATTTTATCTGTTTAATTATATATAATATAATCTAGAACCAAAACTATTTTAGTTTGTAGCTCTTGAAATATTTTAATATTAACATAAAAAATTGTTATCATTTCCATAATTTTATCCATCACTAATAATTACTAATTAAAATTCTTATATAATTACTAATGTATAATGATTTTATGTATAATATTTTTATAATTATTTTCAATAACTATTAATAATTAGTAAATAAATACTAATGTATAACGGATGGTATTAAATTTATTCATGATAGAGTTTATACAATACTAAAATTGTGATGCCCTCAAGTCCCCTTCTTTCTCGTTTTTCCTTCACTCTCTTGATCTTCCTAAATCCTCTTTTCTTCTTCTCAAGGCTGGACAGTTGGTAGAGTAAGGAAGCTTCAAGCTTTGTGATTGGAAGATTTCTCAATCTTCTCCATTTTTTCTCTTCTCGGACGTGGTCGAGCTAGGGTTGCGAAGCCGAAACACCTTCTTCCTCCTTCTCCTTATGGTGTAACTCGGAGTTGCTTCACTTTGATTCGAGGTTAGAGAAGTTCATTTTTAGCTGTGGGTTGAATTCGTGGTGCTTGAGTTGTTGAAGGAGGGGAAAAAAGTGGGTTTTTGGGTTGCATTGGAAAATAGATGATTTGGGTTGATTTTGAGTTGCATGTTGGTATTCTTGGTATTTTTCTGTGTTGTGGGTGAATGTTATTGGCGAGATTATAGGTTGCATGTGTTGCGTTTAGATGAAAGTGCATGATTTGATGAAAAATCAAAGGGGTGTTTTTGTTTTCAATTTTTCAGGTGAGTCACGAGCATGATTGGTGAGTCACGGTCGTGATCTCCTCAATCTTTATAATACTGCTCAGAGTGAGTCACGGGTGTGACTAACCCTGTTTGAGAATCTTCACTCTTTTCTTTTGAAGGTTAAAGTGTAGATTAAATTATCAAGTTGATAAAGTTGAAATCTATTGAAAGATTGATTTAATGTTGTAAGTTGCTATGTTGTTAAAAGAGTTGTATAGTTGTATAGAAGTTGCTAAGTTGTGTGTTGCCTATTGTTGATGATGTTATGATGATGTTGTGATATATAAGTGGTTTATGTTGTAAAGTTGTCAGAGTTGCTTATGGGAGTTGATTAAAAGTTGTTAAGTTGCATTAAGTTGTTTTAAAGTTGTCAAAATGATTATTATTGTAAAGTTGTAAGAATGATGTCTATAGTTGTGAAGCCGTTAAAGTTGATATTGTGATGACTATAATTGCTCAAATTGTTTATTCAAGTTGATATTATGATGCCTCTGTAATGTTATATAAAGATGTTTATTATTGTAAAGTTGTAAAGTTGGGGACATATGATGAAGATATATGTCATATGTTGAGATACATAATACTAAAGTGATAAGTTGAAAGTTTTTTTATTTATTTTTAAAGTTGAATATCTTAGTACTATGTGGATGGCATGGAAGTAGTCGATCCATATCATGATTGAATGACCAATTTGAGTAAGGTATCTAGTTAAAGATGTAGCCTTTGACTAGGTATTGGAGAGTACGTGGTACTTGGAGGGTAGTGGATGAGCTAACTCCATATGTGGATTAGTGATGCAAGCCAAGGCCGTGGTAGCAGGGTCAGCCCAAGCATAAGGCTGCCTAGGCCCTAACTTTAGACCCTCAAATTATTATTTTTTACTTATAGAACTTAATGAAACAGTTGTATCAGTACTGACTTTAGTTTGTTGGTCATTGTTTAAGTCTAGCATTCTAAGGACTAGGTTCGATTCTAGTATTGTAATTTTTTTGCTAAAAGTTCCTTTTTTTATAGGTGATTGTTGATTTTCTTACCACTCTCTCATCTTTAAAAAGGCTCGACTTTAAAACTCGTTTTAGACCTTAAAATATGTTAGGTTGACCCTACGTGGTAGGCCCACACCCAAACCCTTATACCTTGACAGTAGTATTGTACCTCCAAATTTAAGTGGCACACCTGAGCAATCAACTATTATTGTTTATACCTGGTTCTCTTCGGAGTTCCTAATATTGTCCTATACCTGACCTAGTTGATGAGATAGGTCTAAAGCTGGATTCAATAAGGTTTATGCCACCTAGACTGCACAACCTCAGTTGTCAGAGATCTCCTAAGTTGTATAAGCGTGACGACGCATCAACTGTAGTTGTATGTTGTGTATATTATATATATGTTGTTGTTGTTTAAGTTGATGGTCGAAAGTTGAATTTTGTGCTTCTTTTGTTGCTTATTATATGTTGATGTTGTTATATATTGTTGTATATGTTGTTGGTTGAGGTTGAAATTAAGAGTTGAATGTTGTGTTGCTTTTAGTTGTTTACTATATATTGATGCTTTTTATATAATGGTTGTTTTTGTGAGCTTACCTTGACTGTTTCCCTTGTGGTTGAGACTGTGATGATCATACTTTCGTATGCGAGTAGATCAGGAGTGGGTAGGTACTATGCTATGGTAGGTAGGTAGGCTTTTGGATGAGACTCAACAGGAGAATTGATATTTTATTTTGTTGTATTGAAGTAGTGACTACTAGATATTATGTATATTATTATGTCACATTTTCTTTTTATATGTAGATATGAGATTTAACGGTCTATTCTCATGATGTATATAATTGTTTAATTGTGATGTTTTATTTTATGCATTATGTATGATAAGAGAAATGTATTGTATATATTTTCCCCTGACACTATAGATTGTATGAGACCTTATGGATCGTTACAAAAATATTAATTAAATTTAAATTAAAAATATTAATATAAGAATTTATATAATTATATAACATTTTTTGTACTTTACTTACTATTAATGTATATCAATCAAAATAATAATTACTAATTATTAATAATTAGTAAATAATCACTTACCCATAACGGATGCTGATGGTAAATTTATTCATTATAATGTTTGTAAAAATAGGAAAAATTTTCATTCAAGGAAAAAATATTTAAATCAAAATGTAAAACTCTTTTATTAATGTTAAATAATATGGTTACTTATTATTAATGTATATCAATCAAAATAATAATTACTAATTATCAATAATTAGTAAATAATCACCGACCTGTAATAGGTACTGATATTAAATTTATTCATTGTAGTGTTTATCCGGTACTAAGATATTTAAATAGGAAAAATTTTCATTTAAGGAAAACATGATTAGGAGCAAAATATATTTGTTAACGTAAGAACATGGCGAGATTTATACCAATACTACAATAGTGATAAATTTTTATTAGTTTTATTAAAAGGGAAGAAGCTTTAGAAACTGCCATATATGGGTTGCACATTGGACATGACGAACCATTTTTCTGTATATTGATTTAATAACTATTGAGCATGATAGTGGCGCTTCACTCCTACCCCACATTTCTTATGACTTATCTAAATTGAAAAATGAAAGTTGCATGTAATGGAATCTTACACCTTTTTCCTCTTCCTCTTTCTCTTTCCTTTTCTTAAGCTAATTAAATCACGTATATTTATCAATTTGGGATGCTCTAATATCAAAGTTTAGGATTTAGAGTTTAAATTTTGACAAGAAAAATTTAATTAAAAGAATATGTTTATTTATATGATATTTGTCAAAATTTTAAAAGAGATTAATTCATATGTTTAATAGGAATATTTCTTTGTAATGGAAAAAAAAATCACATATATCTATGTTAATTTTGGTAATATCTTAGAATCATAGACTTCATTTTCCCAATTCCCACTAATCCACTATTTTCCAATCCTTTTCAACAGTAACACCATTTCTGTGTGCGGCCAAGAAAACTATCAATGGTATAATAATATTTTTATTTCCAATATTTTAATTTAAACGTGTTTTTATTTTATAAATTTTGACGGCATCATAATTTTTCAATTATCAAAACTCGTGATATTGAATTAACAAAATTAAAAATCTACAAAATATTTAAATAAATACAAAGTAATTTATAAACTGCAATGAAAGGTTTTTCACTTTTATTTAAACACTTTATTTTATTTTCTTTATTAATCTATACGAATTAATGTTGCATCATACCTCCCATCTCTGCTTGTTGTGCTTTTAGAATTTATCACCAATTCTCAATTGATAGTAGAAATATAGCAACTAGTGTTATTAGAAATATAATATATATCATATATGATTCTTACGAAGTAAATTTATGAAGACTGGCACGAGGGTTTACAGTTTACTCTTATTTTAGGAGTTCAGTTCGCGTGTAAATTTATGCCGAAAATCTTACAGTATATGATAATAATTAATGAATATGAACATTAATTACAATTGCATCTCTGGGAAAGATCAGTGTCCAATTGGGAAACATGAGTTATCTCATTCTTATCCCTTGACAGCAAAATCGCTGACCCAATTTCCCACTTAGTTTAGAAGCAAAGCAGAAACAATTCTTAACTTAAGCATAAGTGAAAAAGGAAAAGAAAACAACAAAGAATAATTAATCAATCGAAATGATGAAGTTTTTCAGAATTTGGAGCAAGTGTGAGGTAGACCAGTATCTTGATCAACAGCAACAACTTCAGTGGCATTGTCACATCTAAGCACGTCCTGGCCCAACTTAGCTCCTGCAGCTTTAAGACCCTTTAGAGAAACTGGTTGGTTAAAGAGGTTTAGTGATGGAAGCCTTGATGCTGGTGGCATTTTCATTCCTGGCAACAAGTTTCTGAAGTCTTGTTTCAATAGTGGCACCTCAAAGTCCTGTTTGTTGTGCTTAACCACATTGTCTTTTGCACTAATATGTGCCCCAGGTTCCATGTGGTTGGTTGAAAAGCTTGCTTGTTGTGGGAAATTTGGGTAGAGACTAACATACCCTCTAAGGTACATCATGTCTATGAGGAACTTCTTCCATGAGGCTTGCCATCCGTTGGTTCTAGACTTTGGAATTTGAACTGGGTTGGCCTTGGCATCCTCAGTGAACCTCATGTTCATGTACACATAGAACTCTCTCCAGTGCTTGGGGAAGAACACTGCCCCCCAACTGCATGGTAATTGGTGTAAGTAAGGTGTGTTTTGGTGGATGTTTTTGAAGAACTCTGTGGCATTCCATTTAGGCCTCTCTTTGACAACTTCAACAAGTTTTGGAGTGTAGAGAGAGATGGAGGAGAGCTGAGGGAGAGAGACTTGGGGGTCATAGTGGTATGCCATGAGTGCATATTTGATCCATAGGTAGTAGTAAGGGGAAACTTCAATGTCATCTTCAAGTAGGAGCCCAAAGTCATCATCAGAAGATGGGTACCAGCTCTCACTCACAGCCCGGATGAGCCCACCTTGGATGATTCTCCTTCTCAGGGTTTTGGGCCCATGAGGCCACTCAAATGTACCCACTAGTCTTATGGTTGCCTCGTCCACCTTGCTATCCATGTTGAAGGTGATGGGAATTTCATCTCCTAGGTAGTAGGCATCGGTCAGAGATTTGAGAAGCCTTGATAGTGAATTGGCCCTGTTTTGGGTGATGATGTTCACAGAAATCCTCATCCTATTCCAATCTGCAAGACACAATCCTTCGAGTTTAGTAGACATGCACTATTTGTCTACTATCGTAACAGATTTTCCATTGTCAACTAATAAAAAATATCGTATGGTATAACTTTTAAGGTAGTAAAATTTTTTATATTTTCAACTAATAATAAAGCCGCATTACTTTTAAAGAAGTTATTATAAAAGTTAACCGACCTGTGATTAGATAACAATATAAAAGTACGTGTATTATTTATTCAAATTCTATTAGCTAACTTATCCCACACGCATGATTATGTAGTGGCTTAGATTTTTATTTTTATTTTTTATTGAAGATGACCATTCATTCACATTATTCCATTATTATTATAATAGAACTAAGAATATACATTACAGTCATACTTAACAAGAGATGAGGAATTCTGTATTCTTACTTGGTAATGCTGTTGAACGTAGATCAGCCATCCAAAGAACTTGAGACACCGAAGCCCTGGGTAAGAGAACCAATGTGGTGGCATTTGAATTGGTTTCTGATGCCATCTTGAGAGCTTTCCTCACATGAGGGTCAATGTCAGCCACACTGATGATTACACTGGGATTGTGAATTTTGATCAAACCCTTCATGCTGGTGTACACTGCTTGTATCACTGGTGCCTCTGAGTTTGACACCCCAGAAAGTGTTCCAATGGCCAAATCAAAAATCTTAAACCTGCGTTCTTTGCAGACCAATGAAGGCCATTTGAGAGCTGTTGCAGCATCTTCACAGGGGCAGAAACTGCCTCCAGAGACCGCGATGTAGGCCTTCTTGCCAACTGTGGACCTGAACTTTTCAAGAAGTGGTGCAAGGGCTTTCACTTCATCAACTGAGTGAGCATAGAAGAGTGCATCAACTTTTTGAGGGTGCATTGCAGCCCACTGAGTCACATAGCCTGTAGAAAGTGCTTTCCACCACTGATCATCTCTGACTTGAACTATGTCCTTGAAAATCACTGTGGTTTCAGACACATATGCAAGTCTGTGTTCACTGTCACCCCAAGTTTCCTTGTCCTTGGGGTCTACCGGAAGAACAAAAGAGGCAGCATTTCTGTACTTCTGAAGCTGATAACTGCAATAAAAAATAAATAAATTCAGCAACTATCATACAATAATAATATTTTCATAGTCACGTTATTGGAACAAAATATCTACCAACTTTGTGATTAATCTTGCCAATAAACTTGATTAGTCATTTTTAGTAGTGTCACCCTTTCCTATTTTTTTTTTCTTCTATTTATAAAACTTGAATCCAAAATTTTGCTTAAGGGATTCATTTGGATCAATGATTTATTAATAAATAATTTTCGTATCTTTGTGTGGATAAGTGTGTAAAAAGATAATTTGACTATCAGTGAAAGAATAAAATATGAAGGTTCCTTCAAATGAAGACTGAATACAAGTTTGAAGATAGGTTTTATACCATTTTGGACTTTAGGATTCTCGTTTATCTCTTAAAGATTTCTACCTAATTTACAAACAATTTTCTAACTAAACAGTTTTCTATGGGATGGTATAATTAAAAATTGTCTCAAAATCAAGAGAATTGTTTTGCTGTAAAAGAAAGAAAAATTATTTTTACATACATGAATAATCCAGTAAAAAAATGGTATTTGATACGGTCAATTAAGACACGCATTTACTTTGTTTGACACATGACAACAACTCAAAAAGGTAGATTTTTCCAATTCTGACGTTTATTGCAATTTGTACTACTTATTAGTGTCTCTGAACCTAATGCCATCAACTAGTTGAATACTACCAGATCCTCTTTGGCTTAGTCAAATTAATGATTGTTTGACTTGTTTGGCCAACGTTCAAATAAATTTCACAGCCAGTTAGATCTCTTTTCACCAAATAAGATTCTCTCAGCGCCCAAAAAACCTTCACAAAATGGTAAAAGTGTAGAAATTGACAAACCTGAGGTGCAGATCTTCACCAGTTGAGAAGGTAAAAGGTGTCTCGATGAAAAGTGTCTTGACAAGATCAGCTGAGAGAAACCATGAACTAGAAAGAAAATCCACTTGCACAATTTTATCAACAGTGATATCATAAGCAGGATCAGGCAAATACAACCCAGCCTCCTTAGACCGAAATTTTCTGTAACTTGGAAACGTGAAGTCCTTCTGCCTAAAGGGCAATATCCTTCCAATACTCCCCAAGACAGAGTTCTTGTACTTGTCCGTGCCTGCCACGTGTGCCAAAATCTGCAACATCTTTCTTCCAGGAATCATGTCATCATCAACAACATACACAAGATCAGCTTCAGTCTGAAGAGCCATTTGAAACCTTCCATAGTACTTGAAATCATAGCTTGAGCTTATGAAACTGATTCTTGAGTCATTATAGGTGTCCACAATTCTCCTTAGTGAGGCCTCATTGGGGCTCCCAAATGAAAGCACCCAAGCATGATGGAAAGGTAGGGTTTGTTGGAGCAAAGAGTCAAGCTGAGCACAAAGTGTCTTTCTCTTGAAGTGGTTTAGCAGCACTGTGATTTTAGGCCTATTAGGACCCTTCAAATCCCACTTGGATTTCATTGCCATTAACTCTTGGAGAGTCTCAGTGCCAATGGTTTTGCTTTGGAAGTTCAACACCTCCTCGTAGAGCTCTCTCTTTAACTTGATCATTTGGACATCATTGGACTTCTTTTGCCCAAAGTCTATCTTCTCATTTTCACATACTTGGGAAGGAGTTATGGGAAGAACATCAACATCCTCCTTGATGAGGGAGGAAGCAGCTTCTTGGTAGTGGCCAACAACGTGGGGTGTGATCATAAGTTGCTTCCATTGTTGTGCAATTTTTGTGGCCCATGTGAACTCTGGCTTGGTTCGTAAATCAATGGAAGGGCCCATGTAATACAATAGGAATGTTGCATAAATTGCAAAGAAAAACTGAAGGCATGTGAGTGCTGCCACAAACTTTATTGAGGCACTCTTTGGAGCCTTCACTTTAGACCTTCCTCCAACATAGTCATTAAGCATCCCTTCCAAGTAATCTCCACTTGTTGATGATTTTGAATTTCGACCAAAACCCATGTTACAAATTGGACTAGATGATTCAATGTCCTCTAACCTGCAAAACAACACTTAGACAAAGTTAGTCCCTAGTCCTACACATGGACATGTTGCAATTACAATTTTGCTAAGGAAGCTCCAACTGAGTCTAACCAATTAGTCTTTCAACACAACAAGTGATGCCACTGTTTTTTTGATTGAAATTTGAACTAATCTACCACACTGAGGATCATGGAAGAGAAGAGAAAAACCGATAGGGGGGGGGGGTGGTTATGAAAATGTGGTGACGGTATTGAAATTTGAAGGGCAATGGCAAGTGTGCTTTATATTATATATATCAGTGGAAAATGTGACAAAGCTAAGAAGTTCCCATGGAAAATGCATCAAAGGTCACATGGGTTAAGGTTTATGGTGTATTTAAGAAATGTTAGCAGACGCGTTATATTCATTCTCTTCATTCACTATACACTACTTCATGATACTTTTGTGCTAAAAAATCAATGAAAGCCAAATTTAATGGCGTAGAAAAGGGTCACCCATGCGTTTTTGGCACTGCATGGCCTCATAAATCATTTTCGTGTTACGTTTTTGTCCCATTTTTCCCTCTCCCAAACCAAGATATTTTATTAATATAAGATATCTTAAACTGCTAGAGAAAAAAAAAAACATGATTTAAGGGCCTTAAGTCAAAACCGAAAATCAACCTCTACGTGGAGACGTTACATTGCAGGAAAAACATATTATATAACGTTAAAGGCACAAACAAACACGAAAAAGAACATGGGGGTGGAAGTAATACGTACATCACACACTAGCTTGGCTACAAAGAGAAATGTGAAGAGGGTGAGAATAAAAAAAAAAACGAAAAGAGCCTTGGCTTCTTCAGCAAAACAAGCAAGAGACCTTAAGCTTGACACATATATATATGATTCAGCAAAATAAATGGTTGATTTGCTGGCAAAGAGTGAGGCTTAAATAAAACAGTTAGAACTCATTAAATGTTACATATATGGTGTGCTTGACCTTATAAAGGAAGATACGTAAATGAAATTAGCAGCAATATCAACGTTTTGTTAATGGTTGATCGCCGAACTTAGGCGGGTTCTACGCAAGAAACTCATGGCTTGGTTCGCTTGTGCAACACTAGAACAGAGAATTCAAATGTATCTTGGTCGCTTAGGCTATAAAAAAAGGTATTGGAATAATGGGAACACACAACATTTTTTCTATCAAATTAGTTGGTCACTTTTTCATTTTTATTTTCCTCTTTTTCTGGTGCTTTGCCATTTATAGGTTGCATATGGAGAGTGGAGAGAGAAGGATCAACACATGGGTTGAACCTTAATTGAATGACAAATTATCAGGCTATATGCCTAGGTCTAGTTATACGTTACGAACGTAAAAAGAAGTTATATATATATTTACACTATCTAAATAGATGTAAAATTTATCTTAGAATAGTCAATTATTAGGACCAAATTAAATTAGTATAGGCATTGAGGGATGCCCTTCTTCATCATCATGTTAAACCTATCCATACATGACCTTTTGGGGGCAGACATTAGATCACCAAAGAAAAAGGGATCACTTGTAATGATCGAATGACATTTGGTGAAAATGATGAGTTTTGTTTGCTACAAAACTTATATATAAATGTTTAAATGAAGAGTAACACATGGAAAGAAGGGAATGATAGGACCTTAAGGAAAAAATCTATATTTCTTATCTATCTATATATAATATTTTTTTTTTTGACAGCATCTATCTATATATAATATTAAGACCTGAGTTTAACAGGCAACGATTTTTATATTTACATTTTCAATTAATTACAAAAAATATTTTGTAGAACCTTTTAAAGTAATTATCATAATTAATCAACTTATCATAAATAATAGTTTAGGGTTAAATACTGTAAAGAATATTTACAATCTTGGTGCATTATTTTATTAGTTTATTTTCATTTGTTTTATGTATGTTTCTTAACTTTTTTTTTTTTTTTTTTTT